GCGTGGCGCCGCAGGCGCACGAGCCACGCGCAACAGCCTTACGACGGTCGGCCGCCGCGCGGCGGCCCCGCCCACCTCGCCGGTGGGCTTGTTGTCGGAGCGCACGACCAGCTGCACGCCGTTGGGCTTGAGCCTGAAGCCCTCGAAGAACTGGATGATGTCCAGCTGGGTCGCGTCAAAGGGCAGGCTCTTCATCTTGATGACGCTGTCCATGTGGTGCGCGTGGCCGCCCTGGAGGGGCAGCGGGCGGGGCCGTTTAGGTGGCGGGCGACTCTGAGCACCGGGTGCCCTTATCGCTGACAGGGCAGCTGCATGGAAACTGCCGCTCCTGCTGGCGCGCAACACGGCCGCCCAGACTGCAGCTACGTGCGCGCAGCGCCCATGGCTAAGCCCCAGGCCCCGTTTCCCTGATACTGGCGCCAGCTCGGCGGCTGCCGCGTCGCACCTGCTGCGCCACCATGTTCTGCTGCAGCACCGCCTGCTGCATGTCCGCCACGTCAGACTCGAGCGTGGGGTAGACGCGCACGTAGCGGTCGCCCCACTTCTCCCCAAAAGTCTCGCGGTCCTTCTGGCAGGCACGGCGGGCCTCCTCGGGGTTCTCAAAGCACACAAACGCCTGCGACAAAGGAGACAAGGGAGGCGCGCGCGCGCAAGCTAAGTGGGTGCGTGTCGCTCAGCTCGCGCAAACAAGCATGAGAGCGCTGCCGAACGGCTGCGCAAGCCGGCGCATCGTATCGAGCAAGCCGCGGGCATGGTGCAAGCACGGCAGGTTGACGCTGAGGGCAGCAGGCTGCGGGGCGCAGCACACCTCGCCGTTCAGGCGCCCATCGGCATGGCGCTTGAGGTATACAGCGGTGTTGCACAGCGTGAAGCCCTGGTAAAACTTCAGGACGTCGTCGACGCTGGCCTTGAAGGGCAGGCCCTTCATCTGCGAGGCGATTCGTCGCCGAGGGGAACCCCGCCACATCGTCCGTTGGCGGTGCCGCAGCGCGCATGGGGCCAAGCGCGCAGGCCGGCAAGGATGACACCGAGGCTGCTGCTGCACCAACGATGCAATAATAAAGCCCTAAGTCGATCTCCGCCACGGTTGGTGCAGGGAAGTCCGCGACGAATGCCTCACACCGCGGGCGGCCCTCGTTTGACGACCGAGCTGGCAGGCCCGCGCCCGACCCCATCTCAGCTTCACTGGATACATATATAGGCCCTAATGTCATCTAGAAATGCGCCCGTGCTTGGCCTCTCGCCAAACCGCCGTCCAGCGGCCAGACCGATCAGTCCGCGTTCCCAGACCCGCCTTAGCCCGCTCTGGAGATGATGCAAGGCTTACCTTCACCACCGACCCATCCAAAGGCAGCTGCTTGGCACTGTCCGCGCCGAACGCGCGCGCAGTCTCAGCTGGCGCGACTTCGGAGCCCATGTTATGGTGTCTTGGATGCAAAAGTGGCTTCAAAAAGTCGTTCTAAGCCTGCTTATCGTGTAGGGCACGGGTCCTGGACAAGCGCGGCGCGACAAACACGTTGAGCGAGCTATGTGTATAAGAGGGGGGTCCCACAACAACGATTCGACCACAACAAGCGAATAGTGTGCATTGGCAGGCGTGTTGCTTTGTGTACGCAAGGCGAACGAAAAAAGCGCACCTGCTTGCCTTTACTAGTGGTAGGGCACTTGATCACGGCATGGGCAATCGCAATTGGCTCAGCATTGCGCTTATGGTGTGCAATTTGTCATCTCAGCAACTGCAGAGGGCGTCTGATGGGCTCACAGAGGTTGCCGAGTGTCGCCGGCTGCAATCGTATTGGATGCAGTGCACAAGGGCCCTCACCCACCCAAGCAGCCCGAGAATATATGTAGAGGCCCTGCAGCCAGGGGATATAGAATGCAACCGTGTGCACTGTCAGGTCTGCATCGTGCCCTGTATGCCACCCGTCCTGCCAGAAGCATCGTCAGTGTCATCAGCGCCGCCAGCAACCCCGCATGAAATCACCACACACCTACTTCCACTCAAGGACAACACAGTTACTGGCAAGGAGTCGCATGGCATGCTGCCGCACGGTTTGCATTCGGCTTCTGAGAGCCCCCACGTGTGAGCAATTCAACACAGCTGCCACGCTGCCACGCTGCCACGCGTGCGTGGTGGGCATAAAGCCGTGATTGCAGGGCAACAGAGCCTAGGGTGCCTTGTGTACTTTGATGCCCCCCACCGGAACCCCGGCTGCCAGCCTGGCCCGTAGCCCTGCGCGCTGTGCCGCAGACAGCCTGCAGCTGCTGCGGTCCAGGCGCACTCCTGTGGGGGCTGTGGGCCGGGACACCGCCGCTGATGCCGCCTCTGGAAGGGGCAGCGCCGCGTCTCTGTCACCCTCCTCGCTGCCATCGCTGCTGTCTTCCTCGTCACTGCTGGTCCCAGAGCAGGAGCCGACCATGTCGCTCCCGATGCAGCCCCCGTCGCGTGCGCCGAGCGAGCTTCCTGCGCCAGCTGCGTCCCGGCTGTCGCCCTGGTCCTGGCCTTGGCCTCCGCGTGCCCAACGGCTGCTTTGGCTACCGTCTTCTTCATCAGACGACCCGGGCCCGCTGCTCCCCTCGGCATCTCGGCCTGCATCTGCAAAGTGCATGAAGTGCGCCCCCACCCGCAAATGCCATGCGCCGCGTCAGGCCAACGTCCGCTACGTTCCCATGCCCGGTGCATGGTCGCTGCAATTGCGTCATCCTCGCAGCCTCGGCCAGCCTGCTGGGTGCGCCAAACCGTCGTGCGCTCAATGAGCGGCGCATGCCTGGAGCAGATATGGCGCACCCAGGCGGAGTTTTGTCCTCAGGAGCCGCCTTGCCTCAGCAGCAGCCGCGTTGCCAGGGTCCAGGGTGCAGACTGTGCAGGGGCGCACGAGACTGTGGGGCTCAGGGGCGGACACATGGTTAGGAAGCAAGCGGTGGCTGTGGGGCATGCACACTGGCGCACCAGGGGAGAGCTGCTGCACGCACTTCTGCGCACCTTCCTGGGCACTGGTGAGGGCGGCCGCGTAGTCGCCAGACTTCAGTGCTTGAACTAGATCCTGCTGGTGCTGCGAGATGTGAAAGTACGCCGGTCAGTGTTGCGCAGGATCGCGCTTTGCAGCACATGTTGCGGCTTCGTGTCGCAGCACTCTGCATCACGCGGGCACTAACCCACCATCAACGCGGATGATTTTGTACCACGGTAGGTGTCACAGCAGGTATCGGGACGGTGCCAGCCATGCAGAGCCTCATTGCTGGGTCGCTCGCTGCTTGGTCGCGCGCACATGGCTGTCAGATCGTGTTGACTGGATTGGACGGCGGTGCTTGGATTGCCTGAGTGGCCTCCAACTCACGAAAATAAGACAGATGATTTCACAAGTATCGGGTGTGGTAAATCGGAGTATTACCATATCGTAGGTGACTCGCAGGTTCGCCAGAGTTACCGAGACCCGCGCCGACGCGTATCCCTTGCACCGTCACGAGCAGGTACCACATTATTGTGAAAGTTGTGCTCTTCATCATGATCGCTGTTGCATGTATACGAGGGAACATGATCCGCGATGGCTCTCTGATCTCCATCTCGCGCAGCACGCTGCATAGCTCAAAGTCCGCTTGATTTAGGCGGAATGGGATGCTGACAGATTTGATGCGCATGGCAGTCCGCATGTGAACAGTAGCTGCGTACCCGCAGTGCACACACACCCCGCGCGCACCCTACCCGAAGTGTGCGCCGCCGCGTACCCGCTGGACAGCGAACGGCAGCCGTATACCTTTGCTGGGGGGACAAGATGAGCGCCAAGAAGGCTCTCCGCGCCGCAAGGGAGCACCTTGCCGCGAAAAACTACCAGGAGGCTGTCGCAGAGTGCAAGGAGGCACTGGCGCAGGATGCCAAGTGCTTCGAGGCTTACCTGTGAGTGCTGCTTCCGCGCGACAGCAGATCGCAGCCCTCGCTGCCCCTCATGCAGGCGGCGCCGGCGCGCCCGGGCGGGCGCGAGCGGGCCGCGTCGGTCGCGCCGTGCCATGCCGCACCGCTGGGACCGTGGCGTGTGAGCGCGTCGCGAGCCCGTCGCCCGTTGCGTCGTGCGCCCGCCGTGACGGCCGCCCCGCCCTCTCCGCCGCCCCTCTTGGCCCCCCCAGCTACATCGGCAAGGCTACGTTCATGCTCGGGCAGCACGATCAGGTGCGTGGTGGGAGCGCGAACACCTAGCCGGCCCCCGCCGCCCTTCACACCCCAGCGCTCGAGCCGCCCCGATCCCTTCTGGGACCACGCCCGCGCCCGCGGCCGACCTGCCTTTTGCTGAGCCCGCCCCCCGCCGCCTGCCGCCCGCCGCGCGGACTGCGCCCCCGCGCGCCGCGCAGTCCGAGGCGGCGTACCAGCGGGCGCTGCAGCTGAACGACAAGTCGCCGCAGGCGTGGCAGGGGCTGGCGGAGCTGCACTCAGAGACCAAGCAGTGGGCCAGGGCGGCGGACGCATATGATGCGCTGGTGAGATGCGCACAAAGGCGGGCCTCGTTTTGGAGCCGTGGCCGCGGGAGGGGATCAAGAGATGCACATGCGCTCGCGGCCTCGTGGCGGCGGCGTCGGCGTCGGAGGGTGCCGCTGCGGTTGAGGCGCCCGGCCGCCGCCCCTGCGCCCGCCACCGCCTCGGCTAGGTCCACATGTGCCACCGCGGGGACCCCGCGCTCGCCGGGAAGCTGCCCGGACTCACGCGCCGCCTGGCGGAGGCGCACCTGCAGTGCGGGCAGCTGGAGGAAGCCGAGGGGGCGCTGATCGACTTCCTGGGGCAGCACCCGCCGCCGGCCGGCGCCGCCGCGCTGCTGCTGGGGCCGCGCTCCCTAGGATCC